TCCCCACCTGCCTCATCCTCGTCCTCATTGCCACTGCCCGGGCTGGGACAAGGACCGAGGCGTGGGCCGGGCCTCGGGGCAGGTGGGTGGGCAGTACCAGGCAGGCCCTCAGAGCTGGGCTGACTCTCGATGGCTGAGTCAGCCTCTTCCCGCTCAGCCAGCACTTCATCGATGTTGGTCTCGCGGTAGCACCTCAGGGGCACCGTGTCCAGGTCCGTCTCGGAGTATTTGGTTGCTCGCCCCACAGCCACCCCAGAGCCCTGCCCTGAGCCCACCCCAAGTGGAGATGGGGGGGCCTGCTCTGGGGGCTTAGCACCTGCAGTGTGCACAGGCATCCCGGTCAGGAGGTTATCCAGGTCAGCTTCCCATCCTGACTCTGTCCTAGGAAGGAACTCTCCCCACTGCCTCGTATTGGCAAGAAGTTCTTTCACTGTCCTAGCCGCCATTCCTCCTGCTACAAACACGGCTTGTTCCTGGTACCAGTGGAGCCCATTTCAAATCAAGTTCTTGTGAGACAGTTCTGAGGGGCCTGAGGGAGATCAGCCTCTTCTCTGCCCCTTCATATCCTGCCATCCCATCCCTCCACTACTTCGTTTCCTGCAGGTGCCCAACCCAGCCGCCATCCCCCAAACCCTCCCCCCCACCAACACAGATGGAAAGGTCTTGGCCTGGAGAGGCATCAGCTGACTCAGGAGCCCAGGGAAGGGTTGGGGGAGGTTTAAAGGAAGGCCCCCACCACACCTCAGCTGCTGTGGAGAAGGCCTGTCCCATCCCCCTTACCTCAGCCCCAGACTTACCTGAGCTGGGGGGGGCCAAGGAGCCATAGAAAAATTCCCATTTGGCTCGAGCAATCCTCTGGGCATGAGAGGAGACTTCCCGGGGTGAGGACCAGGTGTCCGCCTAAGCCGAGAAGGGAGAGGTAGACACAGACACCCAGAGATAAAGGCAGACATCCGAAGAATATGGGGCAAAAACAAAAACACACAGGGACAGAGATGGAGGTGCAGAGACAGAGGGACAAGCATAGAGGCAAGAAAGGGACAGACTTAGGACGGACTGAAGGATCCGATGAATAGCCCATGGGCCCCAAACTGCCAAGGAGCCAAGTCTTGTCCCTTCACTGGGACTCTGGGGTTCCGGGGAGCCCAAGGGAGGTCGCATACCTGGTTCAGGAGTCCAGTGTCAGCAGGTCCTCGGAATAATGTGGCCAGGTGCTCAGAGGGCCCCCCCAGCCCATTGGGGAGGGAGGAGTAAAGGCCATCCGCCCCAACCTGAGGTTGGGCTGGTGGCCCCTGTGGAAGGCCCTGGCCGCCAGGCAGAGCTGAGCCTCCTCCAGCTGGGAGCGGGTCTGAAGTGGACGCCTCCAGCCGCAACTTCCGGTTGGAGCCAGGCCCAAGGGTTGGAGTGGGCCTGGGAGGAGAGAGCCCCCCCAGGTCCCAGCTCCGACTCAAGCCTCCAGAAGCAGGTAGCCCATTCAGTGGCCTCACGCTGGCCTTCTCCACAAAGCGAAATATGACCACAGAGCTCCGGGCCCCTGGAGGAGGCTGCCCAGTGGGTGAAGAGGGTGCCCAGGGTGAGGGAGCAACATGGGGTGAAGGGGGGCCACGCAGAGGTGTACAGGGTGCTGTCACACGTCCCAGTTCCCGGCCTCGGGGACCTGGACCTGTCACCCGCCGTAGCAGGGAGCCTGTGCTGCCATACATGCTGGCTGGGGGACTCTGGGGCACAGGGCCTTCGGGGAGCCAGCGACGCGGGCATCGTGGCGGGGAGATGGCACAGTCACCTTCCGAGCAGAAGCGCATGGCACCCTGGGCCATGCTGGGGCCGGGGGTCAGGCTGGGGGGGCAGGGATGGCGAGGCCAGGCGGGGAGTGAGGGGGCAGCATGCTCTTCAGACAGGCCTGCAAGAGAGGAAGGGGTGCAGGGGGTGAACTGCCGGGGAGCTGGACGGGCAGCAGAGCAGAGACACGGAGGGGAAAGCTGCCTGGAGCCACTGAACACCAGGGGCCTAGCCCACCTTGATGGCATCCTTGATCCTACCCCTGGGGACGATCAGGCCTCCTGCTTGGGCTACTTGCATGGAGGCCTGAGAAGAAAAGATTGTCCCCCCCCACAACAGGCCCCTGGATCCTCTCCTTCTGCTTGGGGGCCCTGAGCATCACCCTGGGAGGAGAGAGGAAGCTATTTCAGAAGTTGAGCAAGCCCGGAGTCCCTGTGGCATTTTGGAGCTACTTCTGGTGGGGGAAGGGAAAGGCTGGTACCCCACCCTCTGGCCCAGGAGTGTCAGCCAGCCAGCCAGCCCTATCACTCAGTCATGAGTCCCCTGCATTTCCTCTGTAGAGGCCCCAAACCAGATTCCCAGAAAGAGAAGAAAGGAGAACTGGGGGAGGGGGATTATCTAAGGACCACAAGGGGCTGAGAGGCATAGGGTAAACGGGAGAAAAAGACCTGGACAGAGGCCACTACCTCTGATATATACATGATAAATGGGAAAGGGACATTTCTGTTCTTAGTACAGGTGCACACACAGTCACACACACACATACGTAAGGACAAATACACATGCACGGGCTACACGTTCCAGTGCGCACAGACACAGGCACACACTGCTCGAAGACACACCCTCACACACTCTCACAGTCATAACAAATATGTGTGTAATGGAAAGGCACATGCTTATTTTACACACACATTGTCATCAAACAGGAACACACAAAGAGATACCCGAATACACATGCAGGGGCCCTCACTCTCCAATGCTCAGAGGCACACGGGCATGTCAGATACAGAGACCTGCTGGTCACAGTCACAGATACAGATGCACACTCACACCCATGCTTAAGGGGGCACACACACCCTCTCCCCCAACCCCCACCAATCCACGGTCTCTGGAGAGGGAGGCTGCACCAGACCCCTCTCCTCCCCTTCTTCCCCCAAGGGTGCAGTTTTGTCCAGCCCAGGAAAGACCATAAAGGGGTACAGGGGCCTCTGGTGGCAATGCAGGGTAAGGGCAGAGGTCAGGAGAAGCAACCCAGCGGTTCGGGTTACTAAAGCTCAGTGGGGCCCCAGCATGTCCCCAGCGCAGCCGGGACTCAGGCTGCCCCAGTACTCACCACTGCTCGCCTGGAGCTGGGGCCGAGGAGAGGCAGGGGAGAGGCTGGGCCCAGCTCAGCTGTGAAGGTAGCGCAGCTCTCGCCTGCTCCCGCTTTCTCCAGGCCCGCCCGCCCGCCTCTCAGTCCCCCCCTCCTCCTCCCTAAGCGCAGCTCTGGCAGAGCTAATCCCACCCCTCCAACCCCCGCCCTCTCCCAGGGCCCTGAGCCTGGGAGGCTGACCCCCCCCTCTGGACGTTGGGTCTCCTCTGGGCTCTCCCGCCAACCCGAGACTCGCCCCTGACGAGGGGGATGACGTACGGAACCCCTGGTTCTGCTCCCCAATCCTCACGTGCCCCACCCCAATCGTGTCCACGTCCCTTTCACCCCACCGCCCCCTGAGCCACACGCAGGACCCAGCTTCACACGCGTGTCCCGCTCCAGACCCCACGCGTGTCCCTGGGAGGTTGCCACATGACCTGTTACATGCCACACGCGCTCCCGCCCCCACGAGCACGCGGCCGCGCCAAGCACACGGTATGGGTGTAGACGGGACCCGCCCCCTAAATCCAGGAGACCATCAGTTAATGGAAGAGATACTTAGGGTACACCGCCTCAAACCCTCAGGGGTTCTGAGCCTTGGATCCATGGGACGCAGCCCTGACCGCGCGCCCAGGATGCAGTAGGAAGAATGTTAGTCAGACTTCAGGGAGAACTTCCATGATGCCTGAGTTAGGTGTCCTGCCCATCTAAGGGTGAGGGGTTAGACGGGATGACGCCGGGACTGAAGGTAGAAGGGAACAGGCAACCCTTGTGCCCTTGGCCAAGGTAAGAGGAGGCCCATCTATTTTTAAGAAAGGGCCACTAGAGTTACTATGGCAACTGCTCTCCTGGGGAAAGCCAGGGCAGGCAGATGGTGACCTCGGAAGGAAGAAGGGGTCTGTTTGGGTGGTCGGGGGACGCGCAGGGCTCACCGCGGGGAGGGGCGGCGCCGGCTCCGCGTGGTGCTGAAGGGGACAGCGCCAGATTTGTCGCACTGCGCAGGCGCAGAGGCGCTAACAAAGCGGGGAGGGGGAGAGGGAGCGCGGTCCGAGGTTGTGCGCACCCACGTGGCTCTATGTTAGCAGAGGTGGATCCTCCCAGCTACCTCCTCCCCAAGCAGGCTGAGGAAGAAGGAGCAAGTCCCTCACCCAAGTTGACCCGCTTTGGTCCTTCCCTGCTGCCTGCTTCTATCTTCTTGCTGCATTGGGGGATGAGGGAGTGTGGAAAGAATTCTGGGAAAACCAGGATGCTTTCGTTTTTTTATTCCAACTCTCTTGACCGTGGACAAGGCGCTTCCTCCCCAGGGTTTTGGTTTCATCTTTAAAGTGGAGTGACAGAACAGACCTGCCCACCTTGCAGAGGTGACCGAAGCCTGATGAGATAATGAATGGGAAGCAGTTTTCTTTATAAAAGGGCAGGTGAAGGGACTGCACCGAGAGTGCAACCCCGCTGGGGGCAGCTTTCAGCGACAACAGTAGCTCTCAGCGTCCTTCACACCTTCACTACCAATGGGAGATACAGAAAGCACTGCCTCGAGTTACTGGGAACGGACCGTGGAACTAGAGCCCGGGGACGCGGTGAGAGGGTGGCCCACAGCTCAGGGGCGTCACTGCGCCAGGGCGGCTCAGGCTCAGACCCTACAGCTAGCCCCCCAGGCCAACCGAGAAGCAGTACTCCTGGCGGGCTGAGCTGATCAAGTATTCTTTTCAGAACTCTAGACCTCCTGGGGAAGGAAAGGGACCCGGCTGGAGATATAGTCCTTCTTAGCGCTCCCTGTATCTCTCCTCCCAAAGTTCAAACCCTTTCCAAATCGTCGAAGTGGAAGAGGCTGGATAGCTCTGTACTTTACAATAAACCAGAAACGGAAGGTTTTAGGCAAGTTTACTTGATGAAGGAATTAAAATTCTAGCTTTGTTCATTCAAGTCAGTCAAAAATTATCGAGCACCTACTACGTGCCAGCCAGTAAGAAATAGTTTCTTCCCATTTTTCAAAGTCAGTCGCTAAAAGCGACCACAAGGCAGCCGGTAGGCCCAGAACCTTTGAGTTCTGGCTCCGCCCTTCTGCGCTGGGCTTTTCCTGCTCCTCCCATCACCACTTCACCCAGAGCCATTCACTGGCCCAAGACGAAAAACGAAGCCAGTGTTTGCTGCATCATCGCCTTCTCTAGACTCGGGTCTCAAGCCTTGTAGCGGAGAAGGCGAGATCTAATGCTGCACCACCGGTCTGTTCCGCCCTCAGTTTTCCGATCTCTCCGGAACGCTTTCAGAGAGGATCCTCAGTGAGACGGCACTCGATTGAATCGGTCTGTCACTACAGTCCAAGGAGGCGGGTTCGTAGCAGCTGTTCCTAAGTCAAAGCCAGAGGTCCTTACTGCGCACGCGCAGTAGACAGCCAAAGGAGCCACCGATGGAGCCGTCCGGAGGGGAGCAAGAGCCCGGAGCCGTCAGGTACCTAGCATCGGAGGGGCCGAGAGAGTGAAGGAGGACCTGGGGGAGGGGAGTTTAAACGCAAGCAGGCCTGGGGGCCCCTCTTAGGAGTCAGAGCGCAGGACCGTAACAAAGGCGTACTCGTGGGTAACAGCGGCCGGGGGACGCCGCCGGCAACGCCCCTTTACCCACAGGCTCCTGGACCTGCCCTGGGAAGACGTGCTGCTCCCACACATCCTGAGCCGGGTCCCGCTGTGCCAGCTGCTCCAGCTGCAGCGCGTCAGCCGGGCCTTTCGGGCCCTAGTGCAGCTGCACCTGGCAGGGCTGCGCCGCTTCGACGCCGCTGAGGTGAGCCAGGGGCTGGAGCCCCGCCCCCGTCTGGGTTCTGCCCCCGCCCCGCCTCCAGCCCAAACCCAGTGCCTCTGTGTACCCTCTGGACCCTCTTGGCCCTCCAAGAATGCCCAGGAAGTGATCCGCCCAGCAGGAAGTATTCCCAAAGTGCGAATACCGGGTATCAACTCAGAGGGAGCGTGGGGTCTCTCCTGGGAGGGTAAGTGGCAAAGTCCCCGAGTGCTGGCTGCTGCCAGAAAAGAACTCATCAGGGGCGGATAGGTAGCGCCCACCCGTCCCCCGCACCAGCTGAAAGTCTAGCTGACTCCCTGCCCACAGGTGGGTCCGAATATCCCGCAGACCGCATTGGTCTGGCTGCTGCGGGACGCCGAGAGGCTGCAGGAGCTGGCGCTGGCGCCGTGTCACGAATGGCTGTCTGATCTGGATCTGGTACCGGTGCTGGCGCGGAATCCGCAGCTGCGGAGTGTGGCGCTGGCCGGCTGCGGGCTACTGAGCCGCCGCACGCTGGGGGCGCTGGCAGAGGGCTGCCCTCGCCTGCAGCGCCTGTCGCTTGCGCACTGTGACTGGGTAGACGGGCTGGCCCTGCGCGGTCTCGTCGACCGCTGTCCGGCCCTTGAAGAGCTGGACCTCACCGCCTGCCGCCAGCTCAAGGATGAGGCCATCGTGTACCTGGCACAGAGGTGCGGCTCGGGGCTTCGCAGCCTCTCGCTGGCGATCAACGCCAATGTAGGGGACACCGCCATCCAGGAGTTGGCTCGGAACTGCCCGGAACTTGAGCACCTCGACCTAACCGGCTGCCTCCGCGTCGGAAGCGACGGCGTCAGGTGCCTGGGCTTGGGATCGGTGGGATGGGAGGGGGGCAATGATTTAGCCTCTGGGGGAAGGGGTGGGCAGTAGTCGAAAGGCAGAACTGGGGTTTCCGGTCTTCCTCGACCTCGGCAGCCCCATTCTGAACAGGAAAGGCCCCCAGGATTGCCTAAACCAGAAAGACCAGTTTAAAACCTTTTGAACCAATATTTACACATTGGCAGTTTTCACTCACAAAGTCAAATTTCTGGCTTTTCTTCAACCAGGGGAGCTGAGGAGCAGTAACCCCTTTAAGAGACAGAAGTCTCTGGTTCACTGGAGGCGTTAAGTGCATGACCCCAATCCAGGCCCTCTCCCTCGTGTATGGAAGAAAAACTTTACCCCGAGTTACAGGGATACATAGGGACCTTGCTGGCTTCCCTTACGGTGGGTGTAGCGATTTCGTGCCCTTAGCCTCATGCAACTCCTCCCCCAGGACATTGGCTGAATACTGCCCTGCGCTGCGCTCACTGCGGGTGCGGCACTGCCACCGTGTGGCTGAGCCCAGCCTGAGCCGCTTGCGGAAGCGGGGTGTGGACATCGACGTGGAACCGCGGCTGCATCAGGCCCTGGTGCTACTGCAGGACATGGCAGGCTTTGCACCCTTTGTCAACCTGCAGGTCTGACCCGTCCCCTCCTGGGGGCACAGCTGGACTGTGTGTCAGGGCCTGACTATGAACTGTAGGGAAACTGGACTGTGGGGGCCTCTGGTGAGAGGCCATTGCCCTATCCCACCCTGGAGCTTCAAATAAAAAGCTTTTTACCCCCTCCTGCCTGGCGCTGCCCTGTTGGAGGCAGGGAATATGAGGTTGGGAGGGAAGGTCAGACGGACACATTCCTCCAGCACCCCAGCTCTGAGGCAGAAATGACCAGAACGCACTCATCTTCTTGGGGCCACCTTTACTGTGCTCATAGGCAGCTCCAAGAGGAGGTTAACATGGTAGGGCAAGGAGGAGAAAGAAGGGGTAGAGAAGGGGTCAGGAGTTAGGGCAGCCCTGTGTGGGGCTGTAGGGCTCCTGCATCCCTCTGGGATCTAAGCTTAGAAGGCTCTAGCAGAGTCCGGCGAATGCCTCAGTGGAAGCGATATTTTCTGGCCGGCTTGAGATTGATGTATGTGGACTTCATCTCCTTGGCCTCAGGGTTCCGCACATCTTTGAATCTCTCCCCCTTGGTGCTCACTACTTGGTTGTCGATGTATCGGATCAGCTTCTTGGGGGCCTGTCAGGCAATCAGTGAGTAGCAGAAGCCAGGAGACCGTCCCACCCACTCCACACACCCCTGGGAGCCCCAACTCTCTCACCTCCCTGGGAGCCATGGGCCGGTGAATCTTCTGATCCTCTGCACTATCCACCATCATGTACCTGCCAAAAACTGGTCAGGTGAAGCTCCTGCCACCCTGGGAAAACCCTTTAAGAGCCCAGCCCAGCCCATACTCACTTCTGTAGGATGAAGGACTTCAGCTCATCCTTTTGGGGGCCTCTGAGGCGCCTGGGCAGGTCCTGCAGAGGGGAAGCCTGCTCTAAACTCTAGGACACCAATAAGAGAAGCATATGGCGATAGGCCAGGGGCGGAGGTTTGACACTGAGGGGGCATGTAGCTGGGGTTGCATAGGTTAGGGGGGTTATCAGAGGATACCTGGTTGGGGCCATCCCAAGCTGGAGGCCCCTCCTCCTTCTCCTCTACCAGCATCTGAACAGCTTCTTCCAAGTCCCCCCGAGCTTTGGCCAGCACCCACTGGGCCTGCTCCACCGAACAGGTAGGGAACACCTCCAGGAGCACATCCACCCCTGGCAGCATCTCCTCCTCAGCACTGGCTGCCTGTGGGCATAAATGTTGACAAAAGGCAGTACTTCCTCCTTTCCTGCCCCCCAGCTCCCTCATCGGCACCCTCCTCTACCAACCTCATCTTTGGTGTCCCCAGCAGCAGGAGAAGCCCTCGTCTCTTCTTTGAGCTTTTCAGGCTGCTGCAGGGGCTTTGGGGAGGTGGGCACCTGGCTGTGGACCTCTGAAGTTGGCGGTTGCAGGTTCTCTGATAGAGGCAGAGAGAGCACCAGGTTTGCCTGAGCTTTGGGGATGGGGGTTATGAGTCATCTGAGTGCCTGATCTCCAGACTCACCTTTGTTCCTGGGACCACTCAACTGCCCTGAGAGCTTCTGCATCATGTCCCCTATTGTACCCCTGAAAAGACAAGGAGGATGGTAAGAGGACAACTCTGCCCACCCTCCACAATCAGCTGGCCCCTGTCCTCTTGGCCCCGGGCAGGCCCCACCTTGGGATGTGGGTGAAACCAGGCACATAGGCCTCCATCATCTCAATGAAGGCCTCCATATCGAAGTTCTCCTCTGACGGGCCTGAGGGGCCCAAATCCTCCAGGACCCCAAGCACATAGGAGAAGATGACCTCGTCCAAGCCGCTGCAAGAAGGGAACAGGACAAGCCATGGGTAAAACGCTGGAAGCCTCCGGCACCCCCACCTCACCTAAGGCTCCAGCCCTGGGTTTCATGGGACCCATGAGTCAGACCTCAGGCACCGAGGCTAGAGAATATCCCATCCTCCCATGGAACTTTGGTTTCCCATCTGTCCAACAACCGCGACAGCCACAGGATAAGAAGGCCACACCAGCAAATCATAATCAGCCCTTCCCCATCTCAGGAACAGAGCTGAGCGTCCTCATCCCGTCTTTCCATTGGCCATGGCCCAGAGCACTGCCAGGCAGCTCCGACTCTGGCCCCAGCACGCTCTTCCTAGGAGAGCTGCTTCTACCTGAGGTCAGCCTCTGGGAGGTGTGTCTGGACAAAGGCAAGGAGGGCAGCACCGACAATCCTCTCCAGCTCCATGCTCTCTCCCCTTCTGAAGAGACACAAGAGGTAGGCTTATCAGGCCCTCTCCTGCCTGCCCCTACCCACTAGGCCCAGGGGCGCCCAGCTCCTCCCTCCTGCCCTGCTGTGAAAACCATTTGTTCATGTTGCCTGTGGCTTCCAGCTCTCCAGTCCTCCCCTTAATGGAAGCCACAGCCCCCTCCCTGCCCACGTGTCCTCTAGCTTGAGGCTGTATCATGAGGAGGCCTCCAGTGTGATGGTTCCCCTTGCCACTCCCCCGACCCCTCTCCATCTCCCCACCCGACTCCCCAGCAGCATGCCCAGATCCTCTGGCAAGAAACCAAAGTCTTGGGGTCACATGCCTCCTGGCTCAGGAATCCTATCACTGAGAAGGCCACTTGGCCCCCAAGTCTAACCACAAGGGGCCCATTGTCCAGCCCCTCCCCAAGGAGCAGGCCTCAGGACCAAGACCAACCCTTCCCCCACACAGAATGGGCCACCCACCTTCTGGCACAAAGGGACTTTTCTGGCTCCAGGGCCTGCACAGAAGGAGCAGTCTTCCACCAGTTCTCTTCCTCACCATTCCTTGCTCTTCTAGCAGCTTGGGGCTAACTACAAAGAACTTTCCATCTTCCTTCCCAGGCCAACGGAGCCATACAAGGTCTGGCCTTTGGCTACCTCTACCACCTCCCCACTCCCTTCTCACGCACTCCAGTCGCAGCCCACCAGCCTCCTTGCTGTTCCCCAGCCTTGCCCAGCTTCTTCCTATCTCCTCCAGATATCCACATGGTTCGTTCCCTCACCTCCTCCAGGGCTCTGCTCAAATACTGTCTCCTCAGAGAGATCTCCCCTGACTAACTTACCAAAATAGGTATTCCTCACACTCCCTAATCCGTTACCCTGCTTTATTTTCTCTATAGCATTTACTATGGCTTAATGTTATTTTATGTTTAATTGCCTATTGTCTGTCCTCCACCATAGAAAGCAAGCTCCAAGAAGGTGGGGAGGACTTTGTCTTATTCATTGGTATAATAACCCTAGTACCTCCAAAAAACACCTGCATGTAGTAGGCGCTCAATAAATACTCACTGACTTATGTCATTCCCGCCTACATGTGCTTGACTCCACGTCTGTATCTGGGAGTCAGGAACATGCAGACGGTAATGAATGGCTGCACACCCACAGGTCCAAATGTCAGCTCTCCATCCCACTCACAAGACTCAGCAGCATCTTAAATTCTACCTCGTCCAAACTCCCTGCCCTCCTGGTCTGAGCCCATTCCCTCTCCGAATGTGCACCTCTTGTTTCACCAGCTGACAAAACCACTCACTCGCTCAGCTGCCAAACCTGAAACTTGCGGATCACCCTTGATTTCACCCTCTCAACCCCACCTGCTGTACTCGATCAGTCACGGAGTCCTGACCATCCCACTCCCTTACGCCTCTCCACTCTGCCCACTTCTCCCCAGCTCCTGTCTGGCTTCTGCCCAATGTCGCTACCAAAATTTCTCAGGCTAAGGTCATGAGTTACCTTTTCAGGTTTTGCTCGAATTAGGTTGAACCATATGCACTTGCCATTATTGCCCGTTTTTGATTTACAAAATAAAAAGAAAAAGGCAGTTTCTCACGGGTTCAGCTAACAGTCGCCCTTTCAAGCAGCACCAGTGTTGATTTCTGAGCATCACACTCCCCTGTTCCTTTTCCACCTCCCTGGTCATTTCTTCCCAGAGTCCCCTCTCTGCTGCCTTGTAAATGTGGCAGCAAAGCTCCGGCTCAAATCTCCTCCCCCTCTCTCCTCACTCTGTTCTCTCTCTCTCTGGAAGGTTCCATCTGGGCCCACATCTCTATAAACCAGCTCTGTGTCACCAGCTCCCAAAAGCCCAGGCCTCTAGTCCAGCCTCCTCTTCTTCAGCACACCCAGGCCTTTCACTCCCCCCAGGCCGTCCTCAGTAAAACGCCTGTCCACACACCCAGCTGTTCCTGTCACACGTATGGGCATTATCTTGGACACCACCCTACTTCTCGCCTTCCCACATCCAATCGGTCACCAGGCCCTGACCGTTTATCTCTCAGCCCGTCTGCATCTCTGCTCCCACTCTGCTTCGTTTCTTCTTAACCGCAAAAGCTTCCTCACCTTTCCCCACCACCCCCATTTCCATCTTTCCCCCAACAGCTTATTCTCCACAAAAATCACAGTTGTGTGATTAAAACAAAAAGTTTTTCCTGCTTATAATCTGCAGGTGACTTCCCATGTCCCATCAGGTAAGTCTAGGTTCCTTTTGTGGCCTTTGATTCAGGGCCTTACTCCTGCCTACCTCTCTCTAGCCTCACCATAAACACCCTCCCTGGACCATCCTGTCCACTCCAGCCTTCTTTCAATTTGCCAGCACTCAAGCTCTTTTGAGGCAAGGGGCTCTGCCTAGGCAACCTTCCACCTCCACCCCTTGACCTAATTCCTTTGGGTCTCAGTTTAAAATTCCTGTCCTGAAGGCATGCTGTCCCTGACCCTCTGGAACTCCTTTGGTCCCCTGCACATGACATGCTCATTGCAGACTGCCTTTTCCTCACCTAGTGGCACCTTTCACAGCTATAACTAACTAACCGTCTAGGCAGTGTTTGATGCTTCATGAGGGCAGGGCCTACACACCTGGCTCATTCATCACTGTACCCTCATAATCTCATCTGAAGTAGACACTCAATAAACAGTTACTGCCCGCTTTACAGTGAAGAAATTGAAGCTCAGTGGGTTGAATGACTTGCACAAAGTAACCTGGCTTGACTGCGGCAGCCATGATTTAATTCCAGGTCGCCTAATCGAGCATATATTCTAGGGGCTACTCTGGGGACAAAAGGACATCAAGACTTCTAAGTGGGCTGAGACAGGCCTACCATCTATGATCAGTTTCTTGGTTCCCTGAGTGTAATACAGAGTTGCTGTGACAGCTCAGAG